TAAATATATAAACCAAGTAAACAAGTTAAATATTCAATATGACATACTTCAAATTTTAATTACTGTATGCTAGTTTTCTTTATTCATCCTAAATTAGTAGAATTATTTTCCTCACATTAAATCATACATATTACACACTCTGAGCATTTATAAAACTAATGTCTCTTCTAATACAAGTCCGCTGCGTGACAAAAGTGGCAACGCCGCATTGCCGGCCTACAGAAACAGCTGTTGCACTAATTCATAATAGAGCGTCTGCGCAATATTTATGTTTACATGTTTGTTATTACCATGACAATAGGCCGGCCGGTGCGACGTTGCCACACACCAACACCACGGCCTTGTATTAGAAGAGGCTATGGTAAAACCATATGTTTTATCTATGGTAAAACTCAATGTGAAACAACCACTAAACAACAAATTAAAAAATGTACTTTGCAAAATGCTTAGTGATTGAGTGTGAACATTTCATTGTGTCATAGATTAGCTATACACAAATAATAATTATGAGAAAATACCGAAGAGACAATAGACAATACAATTTCACTAATAGTAATCTTCCTTAAAGCTTATAAGTAATTAATCAACAAGTAAATGCATCTTACCCAACGAGTTGACAATGAGAAAATTGCCAAACCCAATCAATTAGCAAAAACAAACAAATTACATTGGTGGGTGAGAATATTATATTAGGAAAGTCGCATTGCCTTTTCTAACTAATAGTATAAGTTGTGCTATGTGTTTGTTAAAAGTCCGGGTTACGTGTAAATTTAAAGGGAAAAGTTACTTTGGTAGTTCTATAAAAGTTCTTCCTAACTAAGATCAATTTACAAAAACGTACATGACATTAACATAGGTGTAAGAAGAAATATACCAAAATATTTGGCGAAAGTAAGAAACAATGGATTCACAATACATCAAACTACTAGGAGATAATTTGTTTCGGATAAAGCGTCCCAGTACATAAACAATTAACGATAAATTAATCAAAAATAATAAAACCACGTACCTTGTGACTAGCTACTGGAAGATTTTATAAAATCTTTCTTTAATTTTTAAGGTATTTCATAATTAGGTATTCGTATATTTTATAAGGCATCTTCATTTTATTGGGTAAACACAGAATAGCGAGAAAGATCTCAGTTTTCTCCTGTACAAAATTGATTTTGTTATTCTTCAATAATGAGCGAATGAAATAAGATTCTTAAAGTAACTATAGGAATTCGTAAAAAATACGTCATTGTCTGCAGAATCTCTCTAAAACTTAACTTATTTATAACTTTACTTAAATAGTATTCATACCGTACTATTGTCTTTCAGCTGTGCATAAGGGTTAGGAATTGTGGATATTTATAAGCATGCACTGTGGATGCGAAACTACCTGGAGTGGATTAACGTCCGCACTAGGGAGTACTACTACGACTATCCGCAGTACTATCCTGATAATTAGACCAATTCGTTAATACCGAGGCAAAAATGTGGTTCGGATTCCACTATAAACTGTAGGTCCCTCAGTTGCCATTAGCTGTATGGGTTATTAATTAACAGCTGTAAATGTCGGTCTTAGTCACTAAAGACTACAAGATCGCGCCACTCATCCTACACTCATCTCCATTCATGCTATGCTTAAAATACCTACTTTTATATGGTCGCCATTTCATTAAAAAGTATTAAAGTATTAAATTATGTTTTAAATTGAATCGTATATAGTATTGGAGAAAGCTATGATATTTTACACGTTCTGTAAATTGAAAACCAAGCAAATTGCGATCAGTCTCTAGAGTCTACGTGTTTTTCAAGGTCGCCAGACATATAACTCCGATCGTAAGTGGTCTGCTGGTCGTATAGATAACTATTACAACACATGGCAATTTACTACGGAAACAATGGTCATAACACGACGTATATCTGCGTATTATTACTGTATCACGATCCCTATATAAGGGGGTTGTTTGATTTATGTGTGAATGTACCGCTATTTAGGACGCAGTCTGTTCAAATTTTACAATTTTTTTCAAACGTTTTATCAAGAACTAAATTAAGATTGAGATGGGGACGCCACCTAGCTGCGTATTTTGACCAAAACATGAGTAATTAGTTTAGACTGGAGTGAGATGATCGTAGCTTTGTTACTGACTAATATCAGCTGTACAAAACAATTGCTGTTACATTAGCAAGGAAAATTTATAGAAATGATCAGGAACAGATAAGTACAGTTTCGAACCATCAAAAAGCGTTATATTTACGAAATAGGTATACAATGCTGAAGTGGCTTTTCACAAAAGCCGTAAAAAGCAAAACTGAATAATCTGATGAGTGTGAGTAGATGAATAAATAGAAAAAATTTTTAAAAATACAACAATCCAAAATTGTTAGTAAGTCTTTGTATTCGTAGCGTAAACATGTGTAATAAATACATGGACACTTTATCTATATAATTAAAAGAAATTGGATTTTAGTGTGCAGCAAACCGACCCTTAAATAATATTGATTTTTAAATGTATATTGGGTATCAATTTAAAGCTCTTGTCCTCTATATTTGCCTTTTGCGGTTTAGGCGATATCCCGTAAACGCCCGTCATATAGGCATTTAATTTAAGAGTGTGTGCTGAATTCTGTTGTCAATCATCCGAACTTTTAGAGTTTACATTTGTTTGCATAATAAAATGGCCATGACACAATTATGTTTACATCCATAAGAAAATGGGGTTATCGTTACAGATGGTGAAGTTTTAGTGGATTCAAAAAAAGCTTTGTACTGTTATTTGTATAACATTTTAAAGAAGAAAATGACTTACGTTAGATTTTCTGTTTCGTAGTATTTTTTATTGATGTTTTAGTAAATTAAAGTAAAATATTGTAATATTATTTGTTTAAAAATTAAATAAGAAAATGACTTGCGTTAGATTTTGTGTTTTCATAGAATGTCTCATTAGTATTTGTAATTTTTCTAAGATATCTTAAAGAGATCGCGCACGCAATGAAAATAGTAGGGATGATGAGAAATAATCTTTTTCACACTTATTAACTAGGCTATATCAAATATATCACGGAATTTGAAGTCACCAAGTGATGCTATTAGAATGTTTCAAAATACATGATTGGCTTAGTAGGCCTATAATTTTACAGTTCTGCCACAATTTTCGATAAACTTCAAATCTACAGCAATACCATCCGTTCATAGGCTGTGTTATTTTTAAGTAAGGAGTCAATATTTACAAAATGGAGTGACAATGATTATGGAACGCAACCTTATTAATAGTATTAATAAAGTGTAGCCTAACGTACACTTAACAATTAAAAGATTGAATATATAAGTAAAATATCAGTATTATCAAAATTTTAAGTTTTTCGCTATAGCCTAATTTTAGAAGTTTAAAACTTGTATGACTGTAAAGTTGATGTCTTATGTCTAAATACATTATTGTGCCACTTAGAGTAGTTAGCAACTAAACCATTCTAACCATTTGAATCGTTTAATACAAAATTGTGTCAACAAATAATTTAGCATTTACATATTCAACTAATAGTATGAAAATACGATTTCTCGTATAGTTTTATGTATATGGATGGTTCAATGGTAATCTAGTGTTCCATTTTATTAAATTTATGGCCGATGAAGGTATAAGTCAAATTCAATATTGATTTAATGGTTAGAGTGTGGAACCTATGTAAAGGAGAAACTGGTTCAAATCGAATCCACTCATTGCAATTACACCAATGTTGATGTGCCGTTACCGGTGTTTCGGAACTAATCTTAAGCTGTAGATCCCCAAATACTGTAGAGAGTTGATCAAATGTATCATAAGCGAAAAGAATTTTTTTAAATTCTCCCGAAGAAAATTTGATAATAATTTTTTTAGATAAATGAGTTGTGGAATGAGGTTATAATTTAGATCACGTGATTTTAAAAAGTTTTAAAATTGGAATCACCTCTAAATTTGGATCGTTTAAAAATATTCCAAGGGCTAATTCTGAGACATTGTCAAAGTTTTGTTAAATTGTCAAATGGTTGAGTAATAAAGATCAAATTGTACATCTGCGAATCAAATATTTTATAGTAAAATTAGATGGTCTAACATTGGTGCAGTAACCATGTTTGAGATAATTTGTACGTTTTAGAAAAATTTAAAACGATTTGAGTGGCAGGATCAAAGTTTTGAGATCTGTTACTTGGTAATTTGTAGTTAGATAAATTTGTTTTAACGTTACAATGGCATTACTTAAGTAATTTGTCACGTTTTGTACACTGTTTACATACGTTTAAGGGTTTCTGGTGGAAGAACTCACAATTTTTTAATCTGCTTTTTAAATACAGTACTTGGTCGTTAAATTAGATGGCGTGGAAATGTCACCACGGCTCAATTTTGAGACGTTCGTTGATATATTGGTTCATTGTTAATGGGTTTGAGTGGCAGAATCAAAGTTTTTAAATAAGCATTTTCCTGTATTTTGCTTTCTATTTTAAATATATAGGTATGGCAGTTATGTCTTTTGCTTGCTTTTTCTTAAGACTCATGTACTTAAAGCTGTAATTGATTATAAAAAAATTCAACGTTTTACCAAATGTTTAAGAGATTTGAGGGGCTGAGGTCGCCAATTTGGAATCTTCTTCTAAAATATGTTGTCGTTTGCTCGTATTTTTACTGTTCTATGATTAATTTATTTAAGGGTGTTTGAGAGGTTTCATTGGCAAGAACTTCAGAATCAACTCAAATATGTTGTCTCATGTTTATTCAATTGATGACAACAATACTATGATGACGTTCCAACAAATGTTGAGAGATTTGAGGGTCTGAGATCACCATTAATCTTAGATATTTTATAGGCAAATTTAATCATTTTATTATTCTACCATGACTTTATTTGAGTGTTTGACAAAGAGTGATAATAACTTCGGAATCATCTCAAATATTTTGTCTCGTAACGTAAACTATAGAAATTATCAAATGGGTGTCACAAACTACTCTATCCAACAATCACAACTGATAACAATTTACCTGGTTCTGGCTGTGGACGCAGGCCTGGTCTTGTTCCCTGCATTGCTGGGGGCGGGGGCCGGTGGTCGCTGCGGGGGCGGCTGTCGCACCACCCTCGTACTCTGGGGGGCGGCACTCTTCACCACCGTCACCGACACTATCACTAGACACAGTAACACTCTCATCTCGCTGTTGCTCCTTAGACACACTGAGCCACACTGAACGTTCTCCACTCAGTCCACTTTCACTCTCCCCCTCGGCCTGCCTCTTGCAGGTGTCCCATTCAAGGAAACGTGTCCCTCTCACTGCTGCTGTTTGTTTATTTTTGAGTGTTGCATAGTGATCCGCCGTGGATTATCACTGGCCACTGAAAGAAGAGATTCTAGATTATTAGATGTTATTGTTGCACATCTCATCAAGATATTTGCGAAATATTAAAGCACTACTTAAGTGCTGCTGCTTTAAAGTGTTGCCATCGTAGTGACCACCGATCATCTGTGGATTATCACTGATCACCCGTGGATTAACACTGATCACTGAGAGGAGAGATTCTAGATTATTAAATGTTATTGTTGCACTTCTCATCAAGATTAGGTATTTGCGAAATATTAAAGTACTACTTAATCGCTGCTGCTTTAAAGTGTTGCAACCGTAGTGACCAACCTCGCTGGTTTATCACTGATAACTGAAAGGTTAGCATAGAGTATTGTATGTTAGGTTATTATCGCACCTGTCACTAAGATTAAGATTTAATTTGCGAAATAGTAGTTTTGATTTAAGAATAGGTAAGTACGTCTTAATGCAGTAATAATCGGCGGAAATAAGGGGAAGAAGATGAAAGACGATTTTGACAATCAGACTAAGAACCAGGGGTGCAATGTAATGGGCTTTGGCGTAGTAATTTACTGTCCGGCTCAACCCTTGGATCGATTCAATGGTTGAATTGATCCAACTGCTATGATCATATGGCTTGTAATAGATAACGAACTGCTATACCCGTGGTTTGCAACGGGATGAAAATGTGACCTAGGCAGCCATTACAGTGTATAAGTGGTGCTGATGTGTGTTTAAATACAGCAACTCTATGATTGAATTTTAAACTGATTCAAAAGTGTAAACCTACTTACTTTCAAAACTGTACTTTTGATGTCCATAGATCTAAAATAGTATGACAACATACCTTAGTGTAAAAATAACATCATTACTTGATATTGATGTTTCATGAATGAGATGTTTTACCATAATTCTTCAATTTTAGTCAAGACTCTTTACATGTAGCTTACTATATGAATTACATATGAAACTGTGAGCAATACTCAACAAAACGTATAGGACTATTTTTAACCAAACATATTCCTCTTACTAAATAAATCGCATATTTCCTCAATCAAAGCATCACAAACATATTTTTGAGTAAATAAACAAACACCATAATTAATTGCATTGAACATCTGTTTCATCAAATAAATTAAATAATTTTAAACTTTGGAAGCATGTTTGACGTAGCCCTTTGGAAATCGGCCCCCTAAGCCCCTAAGAAGTTCGTCTATACCAATAATCTTCGGTGAATCTACTAAGGGAGAATGTTTATCTATGATTTACACACTCTAAGCTTCATTTTGATGTGCCATATGCCTATTTTTTTACTTGGCAAATAGGATTAACTGTTAATATAAAATATGATTGTATCACTTTAATAATATAAGATCCCAGCTTAAGAACCATGATCTCCGCCAAGAACAAAGCTACACAAGTCAGCCCTTGCCAGCATTTATATCCAGTGAAAACCAGACCTAATGTGTGTCGTTGTCTTTATATTTTGTTACGTAAATTGTTTAGTTATTAGAGGATAAACCCTCATAACTGAACATCAAGTTATCTAATGGGATTGTGGTAAGAATCTCCACTGCCCGTAGGGTGTGAATAGTCGTAATGGAATTCCTCACTGAAATTTTCTTGTAATGAATAACATTTTAAAATTGTGGAAGGATTGTTAAGTTTTAGGAACTAAAAAGGTTTAAAAATATTCCATACATTTTTCTATGGAATAATTTTAAATGAGAGAGTCCCTCTTTTATCATGTAGACTTATAATCAAAATATAAAGTTTATGTGAAACGACAACTAGTGACGTCATAGCAAACTTATCTAAATTAATCAGTATAACTACTCAATCACGTAATAAAGAACAATCATTTTAATTTGTAATCTGTTTTACTCGTAATGCACATTTGATTGTTACGGAAGCAGAAGCTAAGTTAATTAATTACCCAACGACCGTGGGAGGAACATGATCATGACGTCACTTTGATCAAAGGAATTTCAGGATCATTAGTCGGAACCTTGAAATCCTCCAGGATCAACCTCCATCCAACAGGCACGACTCCTGCTGACTCACAGATAGCTATTGCAGAGTTTAATCATTATTTTTTCGTAAGACAGAGAGCGTGCACTTCTTAAGGACGATCTCAAGAAGATTCCAAAAACACGAAGAATGCTCAAACATCCTCCTTGGATGTCAATCAATTTGGGTCTTCAATTGCGAAGAATCTTTTTCATTTCGACTTTGCAGCCGTAGGAGAAAAATGAACTTTGTTTTGTGGGTCAACCTCATTTAAAGTTCGGTTTTGCAGTTATAAAACAACTACTAGAGTTGCAAACTTGTTTTGATCATTACCTATTCTTGGATACATTGTAGGATGTGTATTTACCAAAACCCTTTCAACAGACGGATTTAGACTACAGAAACTGTCATAATCATGAACTTTATAGACTACAATATTTACAGTCACATACACCAAGGATAATTAATTGTGTTGGATTTTTCGTTGTTGAATATTAACCACAGCTTTTAACAAATCCATCGAAAAGATCCCGAAAGTAATGCAAAGCAATGCATCTTTTTAGCTATGTAAACGTTGGTAAATCCAAAATAATAGACAACCCCACTCAATGGTACAGCTAACGTTTTCACCCCCTGTATCTGATGATGATAAAAACTCATAACTGAGGTAAAGAATCAGTAATAATTTATTTTCCTAAGAACCCATCAATAACTAATCAATGGTACACCTCCCATCTCTCAGCATCCCAGCAGAGTAGTGTACACTTTGTATCACAGACTCCACCCTAGTAGCGCCCTCGTGTATTTCACCGACCATATGCAGTTTGACAGCGTTATTCAACACATTATAAGTGTCGCACGGTCGAGACCGCCGGTTCTTGGCATCAGTTCTCAATAAAAGAAATGTAAGTTCGAAGAACCGGTTGGCTGGTTCGCTTCCGGGCTTGCAGATCGGCTCTTGTGGTCCCCAGTGCCTTTCCCAGGTGATAAGGAGAGCTATCTACCAGATAGCAAGCCATCTTTGACATAATGGAGGTGCCTTTAAGGGCAGTCACTATTTGCTTTGATGGACAAATCTGATACCCCGGAGCATTAACTATCTAATGAGTGAAAGGGGATTTTTATAAGGCATCACGAAACGAGGAAACAGGTGCGGGCAATTAAATGAGTAATTTGAAATTGCAACAATTTTGTGTCATTCCTACTTTAATAGCTACGCACTTTGACTTTCATTTGAGGGAAGTTTTAACAATTCTGTAGCCAGGTGGGTACAAGTTTTTAGAACTGACTTGACCCTTATTATATTGCCATTTGTTCGTTACCACTGAATCTTGGAAGTTAATATGTAGTTCAGTAGTTGTCAAATCAATCATTACAGTAATTGGCGTTCTACTTCACTTTTGTTGTACGTCACACCAGCGGATTCTATCAGGAAAACACTACAAAAAAATGATCAAGATTACGATGAATTTTTCAAGTTTGCGATGATCTGGGTAAACTACCATATACGATCTTAAACTTACCAGATCTGCGCAGGCAACACTGTGAACATTTTGGGTAAAAGATTCGGATATTAAAATCGTCTCGATTTTCAGATAAGTAAACAACTACAACGTCACCATTTGAATGTTTAAATCTCATTCTACTTATTCGAAAGAGAGCTTTTATTTTGAGGTTATCCCACTATAACCGATGATCTGCCGATGTAAACAATACCTCAAGGTAAAGAATTTCAAAATGCAAAACAGGTGTTTCAGTTCACCACTACAACCATAAATATTGTTTTGCAGCTCAATACAATATGAACATTGAATATTTAAGTCTTATTAAAGTTATCTGTATAAGTAGCCTCCATTTATTTCCTCAAAGTTTTACATTTTTTGCGACTGTTGGCCTGTTTAGATAATGAGGATTATGGCATCGTGACTGATACAGAAGTTTCTTTGCTGGATGTTGCAGCTGGTTATATAACTGATGACTTTTAAAAAGCTAAATCGCTGGCCCACTTTGTTTAATACTTTAAACGAAAGGTTCACGATAGTGACATTTTGACGGAGGACACACATAATTTCACTGTTGCACAACCGGTAATTTACGCGATTTTAGATAAAAGGCTTGTTAGACTTACGGTTCGATATTGATTGTTGCGTAAACTGTGATGGTAGACGATTCGATCGTTGTTTTTGAATCAACAATTTAAGTGTATTGAGTCAAGTAGGTGAAGATGGTAAAAGTGTTTTAATACGGTATCTTTGGGTAAAAAATAACATTTTAATAATTTAAAAGGTTCTGTGGACCAACTAGGGTACCAACATCGACTTAACAACTAACAATAAATACAATGAGGCTGATTTGAGAGGAATTTCACACTTCACAATCGACATCCATAGAATATACAGTGGCCAAGATGGACCAATATGCATCTTAGATCCATGAGACCGATTTGACAGGAGCTCCACACTCCACAATCTACATCCATAGAATATACAGTGGCCAAGATGGACCAATATGCATCTTAGATCCATGAGACCGATTCGACAGGAGCTCCACACTCCACAATCTATTTCCATAGAATATACAGTGGCCAAGATGGACCAATATGCATCTTAGATCCATGAGTCTGATTCGACAGGAGCTCCACACTCCACAATCTACATCCATACATTACTGTGCGCGACAATATGACCCAGATAATCCAGCCCACGCCTCTGATTGTCCCTAACTACCTCCAAATTATAATAATTACAGATCGTGCAGCGATAATCAGATCGCCCAAGGTCAAAGACACTGTTCTCTATAGTCTATTGGCACACGACTCTGCTGTTGTCATCACCGCTGCTGCCCCGCCAACCACCAACATGAATAATCATCATCAAGTCTTCTGCTTGCTGTCTCCTTGGAC